GCCTCGTAAGAACGTTTGCGTGGGAGGCTACATGTTCATGAGCTGTAAGCAAGTTGCTATTTCGAAATAAACCGAAACCCGTGGACATTGATAAGTTCGGGGGCATTTTGACTTGTGTTTATGTTAAATCATGTCTTGTTTCGTAACGGGCATCACGTAAAATTAACACTTCAGAGAAAAATCAAAATTAAATATTCTGAAATTAATTTCACACTTCCAAAAATATCAGTAAAGTCAATAAAGCTCTTGTTAGGTAGAGGGTGCCCAGCTATTATCAGTGGACAAGTTGAGCTTCTAGGCGTTAAAATAACAATAAAGTTTTTTCTACGTAACGTCCTGCCTGTCTTAAATTTTTAAGCGACGAAACATTCTTGAAAGAAGATTGAACCCTGACCAAGAAAGAAGTATACGGTTAATACCATATCCTTTTCAGATTTATTCCATTTTTTTTTTTTGCCTTGTATAAATTGGCCTGAGATGTAGCGTCCTCTTTCTCTTTTTCTTTAGAAGGCGAGAGAAAAAGGTTCCTTTTTTATAATCGATCAGTCCTTTTTTGTAATCAGTCCCATAAAATCCATTCCATTCCTCAAGTTTTCACGGGATCATTTGCGGTCGACTTTGGGGATCACTTGCGGTCGAGGATCCGTTTGGGGATCATTTGCGGTTGGGGATCATTTGCGGTACTGTACTGTACTGTACATCACACATTATCCACTCGCTAGGAGGTGAATATTGTTGAATAGTCCGAGATAGCGAACCAATCAAATTGCTTAATTCACCAAGATCACTGAGTGTGTATATACTAATATCATTTCTGGCTGCCCTGTCAGTTTTTAACTTGGTCGATGCTTTTCAGTGTACGCATCTTTTCAAGCGTGATTGGTTCGTCTCGGATTGGTTCATTTAATTTTGCGAACTCGGCAAGTTTGGATACAATGAAGTCAACCAACTTCTCAAACCCACTCTTTGAGGAGTTATTGGGTGTGGAGAGTCGTCTAAAATAGGTGAGCCATTCATCTGCAACAAGTTTGTCTGATATATTTGGTTTGCTGATTTTTGTCTTAATTCGTTTACATACCGTTTCCCAGAAATCCTTGGGACTGTCAGACTCAAAAGAAGAAAATTTTTGAAGTAAGAATTCTTTAAAAGTTTTTTTCTTCGTTTTTACTAATTTCTTAAAAGCTGTCTTTATTACAAAAAATGTACCTCGGAAAATGGGATCAGAGGGAAATTTCGAAGTCAGTTTTCCAAAGTGCAGTTCTTCTTTTTTAAGTTTAAAACAAGATTTATCAAACCACTTGTTTTTCTTTTTCTGGGAATTTTTGGATTTTTGGTGTTCCTTGAGGAACACCAACCTGCAGAAAGTGATGATCAGAAAAAGCCCCATTCACCTTGACGTACTGTGTTCGATCAGAAGGATATGAGTGGAACCATTGTAACACAGAACCGTTAATGCCAAAGAATTTTGAAAGACGTGAAAGGAGAATAGCATGGCTCTTCTTAATAATGATTAACAATTTGAATGCAGGAGGAGAGGCAGATATGTGGAAATATGTGGATGATACAACAATCTCTAAGGTTGTAGGTAAAGGCCGAGAGAGTTGTATTTAGCAAGTGGTATTTCAGTTAAACGAAAGGTAATGCAAAAAGTTCAGGGTATAGTTTCGCAAGTACAGAACCAGAATTTGACCCTATCTGTGTAAGCGGTTAGACCCTAGAGACTGTCGACAGTATGAAATTGTTAGGATTTCATATTAACAGTGATTTAAAGTGGAATGTCCTTGTGTCAGAACTAGTAAGGAAGGTTTCAACAAGACTATGTTTTCTAAGACAGCTTGAGAAATTGCATGTTGCTACAAGACAGCTACTTCTGTTTTACATCACATGCATTCGCTCTATTCTGGAGTAAAGCAGCCCAGTTTTTCATCGCGCTCTACCAAGTTATCCAAGCAAAGACCTAGAAAGACTGCAAAAACACATCATGAAGATTATTTACGCTGAGCTATCATATGCTAATGCTCTAGAGCTGTCAAGATTTTTAACACTGTATCATAGAAGAGAGGCAATTGTGGCAGAGTTGTTTGAAATATGTGCTAATCAATGTCACATTCTCCACAAACTACCGGCCAAGCTACTCTCTGAGAACAAAGAACATTTTATTCGTCTAAAGTGTAAAACTGAAAGATGGAAAATAGTTTTCTTTTAAGTTATGTTTACAGTAGTGGAGAACTAGATATAATTTTGTTTCTTATTGTATCAGTGATGCCAACTCTCCCGCTTTTGGTGGGAGACTTACGCTGTTTTGCCTCGTCTCCCGCTCTCCCGTTTTGGTACATAAATCTCCTGCTTTTTACGTCCACTATAAATATTGAATACTTAGTTAAAAAATAAAACAGAGTTGGTTTGAGATTTAGCCCATTTTTAGCTCAAAACTTGAATTTTTCTTATTTGCAGTATGGTTTCTGGGGCATTTTTGCAGCATCAAAACGATGATTTTGAATTTTGATAGTATGTACATCATGTAAGACATCATATGATGTCCTAAGTCATTCCCATTGGGGGCTGGGTCAATTTTTCGGGGGGGGGGGGGGCGGG